TTTTTTTTAAAATATAGAAAGTTTAAAAAAGAAAATTTGTTAATATTTATTTCATTTTTAATTTAAAATTTGAAAATTATTTAATTACAAAATTAAAATTTCAAAAGTGAAACTTTTTAAAAAGTTCTTAATTTTCTGAGTTTTAATAATTTTTCTGACAAAAAAGAAAGTTAAGAATACATTTAACAGTAGTAAGTAATGAGTTCTTATCTTAAATAAAGTAGCATATAAATTACAAGTATAACTAAAATATGCTTTTATTAATTATTTAGATTTATAAAAGCCATATTGCCTTGTTATTGGCATCAAGATATTTAAATTATTACAAAAAATAAATCAAGTTTTCAAAAATTTTTTTAAATATACAAAGATTAAAAAAGCAATTTTGTTAATATTTATTTCATTTTTAATTTAAAATTTGAAAATTACTTTAATTACAATCAAAAGAGAATTTTTTTTTAAAAAGTAAGTATTCGGCTTAAAATTTGGCCGAATATTCGGTATTCGGCCCCATCACTATTCATTACATCACTAGTTCAGTTCACAGATAATAATGTTTCTGTTTGTGTATCTAAATTTGTACAACTTTAGATAAACAAACATACTTTGTAACTCTGTATCAGTAAAAAAAAAAAAAAGATATTTACCCTAAATTATTTGTTAAAATATCAGTACTGAGAAAGATACGCAATTAGAAAACTTAACATCTTAAAAAATATGTTTATTACACTTAAACATTTTGTGAAGAATTCTCCCATATAGAGTAAACTCACAAAAGGATTTAGTTAACTATTAGTATTACTTATCTGAATCAGTGAACTCAAATAAACAATTTCCCTGAAAAATCCTTATTCAATCTTATGTTCATAAACATTGTTAAACAATTATTACAGCAGTTAATATACAAGATAAATTTAAGCAGCGTTCATACTTAAAGAGTGAATTTAAGCAAAATTCCAGAAATAGAAGATAAAAAAATTTCAACAAAATTTTTATTTAACAAGAATGCAAATTAAAAAGGGGGGGGGGGAATAATACAACAAAAACCTAATAAAAAATTTAAACCCAATATTTTAGCATTGATTAAAAATTAATTATGGGAAAGATACGCACCAATAAGATTGCAAAACTTAATTGAGTGAAAGACAAACAGAATAAAATATTTTTATGCTCAGAGTACCTATCATTTGAACAAGATTCAGGGTAACCAGACTGAATATCGCAAAATAAACATTTTCATACATAAAGTTTTAGTTAAAGGGTAATTTGCAGGGTTCGCGTGAAGCATTCGCCACATTGTCGAACACGATAAAATCATTAATTCCGCAAAACAATGCTTCGCAAAAGTATTGCTAAATGACTCCATAGCTGGTTACTTCTGGTTCACCATAATTTCTGGAGAATCTGGAAAAATTCATGTATACCCTGGACACACCACAAAGTAGCAGTTTTACACAGAAAATAAACAGCAGACGACAGCACACAATCCTATTTCTGCTTCCGTCCATCTCTCATGAGCGATTGATTTTTGTTTCCTGACAGAGAAAGGTGTTTTTCAGTTTTCACTTACAACACTTTGCCATTGCATTTACTGATGTCACATAATGCTCAATTTTGTATACCCCAGTGGTCTGTCCAGAGCGAATTTACTGCTGTTTAGCTGTACTTTTCAATTCAATTTTAGGAAAAACGGTATTTTTACAAAATACTGAACATATTTTCTAAAAATATTTTCTTATTTCATCATGTTTTTGTGATGATTTTTTAAGATAATTTTTAAATTTCACAAATTATGTCAAAATTTTCACAAAATAGGTACCTCTCAAAAAAACCTTGAGAGACGCCTGCAATGTTTGATTTGTCTCCTGATGGAGCTGTGTTTCTTGGGTTCAGCACACTTTGCCGTTACATATACTGTCACGTCACATAACCTGCATAGCTACAATGTCTGAATAAGTCCTTATGAGATGCATTATGCATGAGCTCTCACTTTTAGAAATCATGCTAAAGAATTCATAGATGCGTCATACATAGCTGTCAACTATAAAAATTCGGTAGATTTTACGAAATATAAATTTCGTGATAACTACTAAATATTGTACTAAAATTGTATTGAATGTACTAAATATTTCACACGAAGGGAATATCAGGGATTTTTAAAGTCAACAAAATAGAAATATACTATGATTGAAATTAAACATACTTGAAATGTTATGTATTACGTTTAGTCATAATTTCGAACATTAATAGGCATTTAATTCATCAAACATAGTTTTAAAAGATTTTTTTAAATTAATTTACAAAGAGAGCTGTGAATAAAATAAACTGAACATTTTAAAACCAAAGAAAGTTATGAACTGATTTCTATAAATGAGGTTCACTTCATTATGTATTAACAATACTTATTTAATTATTCAAGCAATAATGTGTACAAAAATTCTATTTCAATAGGGATTGTTTAGGAAACATACTTTATTTTAGGGAAGTTTCTAAAATGTACAAAAACCAGGAGAATTTTAAATAAAACAGTAAAATCTGGCAAAATCCAAAAGTATAGTGGAAAATCCATTAGAGTTGGGACCAAATTCATATCTTCAGAACTGAATAAAATACAGATGCTTTGCAAAAATTAACCAGTAGAATGACCCGTTTCAATACATTTTAATAAATTGACCAATCATATAGCGCTTTTCGGCTACGTTCTTATAATTTTTCTCAATGCAATACAATGTTAAAGTGAAATGTGAGCTTCAATAGTCTTCACTTTTTAATTTGTGATGGCTCAGTTGTCAATTCATGTCACTATCCAACAGTTGTTACAAAAATTTATCTTTTCATAAAAAGTTTGTGATTTTTTTAATAGCGATAATTTTAATACATTTAGAATTTGACTTGTTACATATCAACAAGCTGTATATGCTACAATTTCATCATGAATTCAGGTCGTTTTCTGGTTATTTTTGCACCGTTTTCGAAGTGTTGGTGTTTTATATACTATTACGACCTGAGATAAAAAATGTAAATGTTTGCATTTTAAACAATAATTCTCTATATAGCAATTTTTTTAAATTTGAAATTGCATTTTAGAAAATTTTTTAATTTACAGTAAATTTGTAACTCATAATTTAACTAATTTTCTGAGAAATTATTAATCATTAAAAATTTTTAACATTTGCTTTTGGCTAAATTTCTAGTGAATAGTTTAAATTTCTCAAGATCTAAATTCGAAATAACATTTTGACGAAACTAAAATTGGAACTTGAGCAACCAGGTAGACTTGTCCACATAAGAATGGGGACTTACAGAAACCTCTGTAACATTAAAAATCACAGAAAGGGACATACTCAATAGAAATAACTCATAGCCATCCTCCTGGCCAATAATTATACGCGCGAACAGTTACCGATTATAGAAATATAGAAGTATTTTTGTACAGTAGGAGTACAATATTTCTTACCTTCCATGCATTCATTCACAGATTCAAAATCTGAATATGTGCGAGTTTCAGGTTTCCCCGGTTGAACAAAGAGTATGCTGTGTGACTGTTGAAAAAAAACATAGATGGTCAAAAAACATTTAAGCACAAAACATTTAAAATACGAAACAGCGATAATAACACTTTACACAGTTGCCATATAGATTTAACAATTAAAATTAAGTACACATAAATAAAATTAGAAAAGAAAATTATAAGAATAATAAATTTAAATAAGATTAGAAAGGCAATATTCCAGTAAATAGCAATTGGTATAAAGTAACATGTTGACAAATACGTAAGCTGATTACAAAGCGAAACATTAACTAAATAAGCGTAGTCAGCGCTAATAAAATTTCAAGAAAAGAAAATACCATTCTAAATTATGATGATTAGGAAAAGATAGGCTCGAAATAATCAAACGAGTACAATAAACGTAATTTTACAACAGAATATTTATTTTATTCAAATCAAAGTGTACCATTCTAAGCAAACTCGAGACGAATTATTGACGATTTACAGTTAAAAGCAGAAAGTCGAAAAAAATATTTCACTTTTTAACGGTTACAGTTAATATTTAATACAAATTATGATGTTTAGCATAACTAAGCTATAAGCTAAATGTCATATAGGAATTAATTTTATTCTAAAAAAGCACAGAAATAAGAAAAGGAAATCTGGCGAGAAAAATTTAAATTTTGAAGTAACACTTTGATTGAATAAAGCAGCTTTCTGTTTTGAAATGCAGGTTATATAGAGAAATTTGTTACGATTATTTCTTCCAGTTTCTTTGTTTTTACTATTAAATTTAAAAACATGCTTTAATTTTTATCATAGCCTGTAAAATTTAGAATTCTTTTTACTCTATATTTTATTTTGTTCTTACTTCATGTCATGATGATGAAAACATCATAAATGTATGCGCATTATCAATATACCTCAAGCATATATTATACTCCAGTACAATAAGGAACTAATATTCATGTAATATACAAATAAAATCCTAATTTACTCAGTAAAGATCGTTTTTATTAAGCAATGTTATATTTTTATGCTTATTTATTTTTTTTCAATGCTTATTTATTTTTTTTCATGTCTAAGAAAACTCCCTTTTATTCAGTTTCGTCACCAAATCTTAATAAAAATTTATAACTGGGTACCCCTCTTATTTATTTATTTTAATGTTCTTACAGAAAAAAAGACAGTGAGATAAGAAGTTGAGATAGCAATAATAGAAAAATTTATGATTCTGAATACAGTGAAGTGTAAAATTACATTGCTTAATTCAAGGAGCACTCAATTTTACACTCTAACCCAAAGTTGCATTATAAATTAGAAATATATTTTTAGACATTCCCCAATTAATGTTTAAAACAGGAATGCACAACTTGAGGCTTGTGGATGATAATTATTATGAATTCAGAGTTAGGGGTTGCTTTTTTATACACTTAGCTTTCATGTTGAATTTTTTATTTATTGTAGTTAATTTCTGTATAAAACTTATGAAAGAAAATTTAGCTTCATTATTCTCAATAAAAAATCTCATAGTTGAGTTTTTCTCACTGTCGCATTTTAAGGAATCATAAATGGTATCTATGATGCAGCAAAAAATTTTAATTGTTTTTTCTATGTTTTTGCATGAGTTTAAAAGGATAATATATTCATAAAATTCCTGTACATGTCAGTTAATAGATTTTGTGATTTTTTTTTAGGATTGAAGGAATATAATTCTTTATCCTATAAGAAGATACAGTAGCTAACCCTGTGCCTTGAACCTAATTTAGAATGCTGCTTTAAAAATTAAAAAAAGTGAGTATGTTTTTTTTTCTTCCATTTTAGAATTATTGCATAATGAAAAAACATTTTAAGAAGATAAACAAAAACTTTTTGTAAGATAGGGGTGCACAACCTTTTTGAGTGAAGGGCCACTTGCACAGCAGGTTGGCTAACGAAGGGCCGCACATGTATTTAGACATGTTAACGACAAATGTAATAATGTTTATTTAAACATTATCGTTCCATTTTTTTTATTAATAAACTTAGTAATATCAATAACTTAGTAGTGTTCCATTATTAGAATTCATTCAAAAATAAAAAAACTTATACTTTTNAGTAGAGAAAAAAATATTTTACTTTTTAACGGTTACGGTTAATATTTAATAAAAATTATGATGTCTAGCATGACTAAGCTGTAAGCTAAATGTCATATACGCATATTATTTTACTCTAAAATGGTAAAAAGGCACAGAAATAAGAAAAGGAAATCTGGCGAGTAAAATTGAAATTTTGAAGTAACACCTTGATTGAATAAAACAGCTTTCTGTTTTAGAATGCAGGTTATCTAAAAGAATTTGCTGCAATTATTTCTTTCAGTTTCTTTGTCCCTGGTTTTGACTATTAAATGCATGCATTAATTTTTGCCATAGCCTGTGAAATTTAGAATTATTTTTTCTCTGTATTTTATTTTGTTCTTACTTCATGTCATGATGACGAAAACATCATAAATGTCTAAGCATTATTAATATACCTCAAGCATGTATTCTACCCCAGTAAAATAAGGAACTAATATTCATGTAATGTACGAATAAAATCCTAATTTACTCAGTAACGATCGTTTTTATTAAGCAGTGTCATATTTTTTTTATATGTCATATTTATTTTTTTTCATGTCTAAGAAAACTCCCTTTTATTCAGTTTCGTCACCAAATCTGGTTAAAAATTTATTGAGAACCCCTCTTACTTAATTATTAATTTTAATGTTCTTCCAGAAACAAGACAATGAGATAAGAAGTTGAGATAAAAATAATAGAAAAATGTATGATTCTACATACAGTAAAGTTTAAAATTACATATGCTTAATCCAAGGGAAACCCAATTTTACACTCTAACCCAAAGCTGTATTATTTATTAGAAATATATTTTTAGGCATCCCCAAATACATTATTGATGGAATAATGAAGGAAATTAATCTTCATAACAGGAATGTACAACTTAAGGCTTGGGGGTGAAATCTATCCCATAAGAAATTATTATAAATACAGAGTTACTGGTTGATTTTCTTATATGCTTAGCTTTCATGTTGAAATTTTTATTTATAATTTATTTCAGAATCAAATCTATGAAAGAAATATTTGCTTTATTTCTCAATAAAAAATCTTATAGTTAAGTTTTTTCTTACTGTCGCATTTTAAGGAATCGTAAATGGTATCTATAATGCAGCAAAATTTTTTAATTGTTTTTTCTAGGTTTTCGCAGTTGTTTAAAAGGATAATATATTCATAAAATTCCTTTAAGTATCTGTTAATAGATTTTGTGATTTTTTTTCAGGATTGAAGGAACATAATTCTTTATCCTATAAGAAGATACAGTAACTAACTCTGTGCCATGCTGCTTTAAAAAAACAATAAGTATGTTTTTCTCTACTTCTTTTCTTCCTTTTTAGAATTATTGCATAATCAAAAAAAAATTAAAAAGTTAAACAACAACTTTAGTATCTAATGAAATTAAATATCTCATAGCTAAGTGCTATTTTTTTTAAGGATAAGAAATATATATATATTACGCTTAAGCTAATTTCAGTCAGGGTAGAATAATTTAAACTAAGCATTTAAAAAAAAAAGTTTGTTTGAAAAAAAAATTTCATAATTAAATTCTTTATTTGTATAAATTCTTTCAGTTTAATTATAACCAAATGAATAAATAATATATAGTTTTTTCTCTCTTATTTTGCACTTTTTAAGTGTTTGTGTAGAATCAATGAATTAATAATGTGAGTAAATTTACAAGAAAATAATACAAATATTTCTTTTCTTTATACTAATTCTAAAAAAAAAAAACAATATTTTTCTTTTAGCAGCAAATGTTTTGAAAGATTTTGCATGGCAAAACTTTTGGCACCATTTGAAAGACCATGCTTGAAGTATTTGGAAATGCCATTTTTTGCCCTGCAAAATGTAATTGGACAAAAATGAAGAAAGGAAGTTAATAATTTTTTCTAACTTTAATACCAGCAATTTAAAAATCATTCTATAGGATTGTGTTATTTTTATAAGATTCTTTTAGAATTATTTATAATGGTATTAAAAAGGATAGAAGCTTTAATCTTCGTGCTACCTTGCCTTCCTACTTCCTTTACCACATACCTTGCCAGTGCGACTTTGCTTACATCACACTTAGCAAACATGTCAAATTTTAACGTAATTAGACAGATAGATATAACATAATTAGATAGATATGTCCGTCACATCATGAGTGTGCAGTGTTCTCTCGAAGTGTATTTTGAAGGGTGGTCTGCATTTCTTGCCCTTTAATCCTGATAAATGCTCCCTTTTTGTAAAAATAAGCTGCCATCCTTTAAAAACACTGCTTTTTTACTCATATGCCATTCAAAGATAAATAAATAACTTTAAACATTCTTCAAATGATAATTACACACTAGTAAAATTATCTGTATTTATAGGTTTGATTCTGATTACTGTTACAAATATTTACTTTGTTTAGATTATTCACAACTGGTTAAATTTTTATAAATTTCTTTTTTTTCAGGGGATATATTAATTAATTTTTTTTAAACTTTACAATTATTTTTTCAAATAAATGCCTTTTTTTAAAAAGAGAAGAAAAAATTGACCTTTAAATGTTCATTGTTTTCATAATTTTCAGTTTGAATTATAGAAAAAGCTTTCAAGTTGTTTATCAATCAATCATTTTTTGTAGTTAACTTTTTTTTGAAAAAAATTCATGCTCAGGGAATGTCTTTTAGCTTGCCTTTAATTATTTTTTATAAACTACAATCTATTCTTTTGTTTTGATAGTGTGTAATAATTTCTGTTTGAAATATCTAGATAAAATATTTTCAAAGGGAGACTTAAAAATTCAGTTACTCCAGGATCAAATTCAGTTATTACATAATATTACACGATTTGATAAATTGTTTCGGTGTTAAGGGAATGCCCTTTCAAAATTCAAAGTGTCTTTTTTTATTCTTAGGAAAAACTCTGGAGTGTGATTAATCTTTGGCGTACCTTCAATTTTGATAATGGCAAAATTCCTTTCCTCCATTACATCACATTAGCTCATCTTGGAATCTTGTTATATGAATGCCGATTTCATTGTTAACATGAGTTACTTATCACCTCTCCATAGTATGTGGAAATGCAGTTTTTCTTGATTTGTCTCTGCCTTCCAGTGCAGTTTTATTTTTATACCTTTATTTATTTTTCAGGTTCTGTTTCACTGTCAGATATCGTCTAGTTTTGTTTTTCACCTTTCTTTTTTCATTGGAAACTTTTCATTTTCTCTTTTTAATCTCTTTCGTTTTCCTCTTTCACGTCTGGTGAGTCTCTATAATTAGTACTATTTTTCAGCACTTTAAATTTGTATATTATTACTGTCTTTATAATATTTTAAGCAAATGAAGTTATTATTTTATCAGGTATATCTTCCTGCTTCAGTTTCTTGGGATATTTCTTTTTTTTTTCTGTTGATTTATGCTCTTTAAGAATAGTGTTTTTAAACACTATTCTTAAAGAGCTTTTTATTAGTTTAATATTCTAAAGCTCTGGAAATGCAGGAAAACCTCGATATCTCAAACTTGAATAGAGAGAAGAAAAAGCATTTGAATTACCATGTATCAAAAATTACATGTTTTCTACATTAAAATAGGGGAAAAAAAGATTTTTACTTCCCCAGTAGTGGGGGATAGACATTTATAAAAAAATTAAACTACGAATACAATTTTTATAACAATATTTAAATACATATTTATATCTATATACTTTAGAGCATAGATTCTCAACCTTTTTTACGTTGCTGCCCCCTTAAGGAACAAAAAGCATTTCAACGCCCCCTTCATGAAAATCCAGTTATTTAGAGTATGGGGACGGAGGGAGGTGAGCTGAATTATAGGAAGTAACATCTTTAAGCAATTTTTTAAGCTTTAAATTTGTTAGGTTTTTTAAAAAAATGTAATGTGTACATTAACTCGATAATTTTCTCACTGCAGGTAAACACAGTCTATTTGTTATGATCAAAATAAATAGGTTGAATGAAAGAAAAATACAACAAAGAAACCTATGCTTAAAAAAATAAATTATTCTTAATTAGATAATTAAAAAAACACCCAAAATATAAAAAGTAGTATCAACAAAACATTCAAGTAACTATGTTGGTAGGATGATTGTACTTAATGGTTCAGAACTAATTTCTTAAAGGTCGGTTCAATACTTTTAGTGAGATGAAGACGCAGATCCCATCGTTGCACAATTTCGAGTCGATTTCTCCTTTTTGTGACGAGATCTTTAACAGCACTGAATCTTTTTTCGACTAGTTAGGAGGAAGGGAAGGCAATATTCGCAAAAGGCTTCAGAACCCATAAACCCATTGAGGCATTTCTAGGGAACAAAACATCTTTAAAACGGTCAGAAAAGTCCATGTCCAAAAAGTCAAGGTGTTGACAATATTCTTGTGCATCATCAGAACGAATTTCGCCTGCTTGGCTGAACTCATTCCAACAAAAATTCTGCTTCCACAAAATTAGTCTTTTAAGAAGACAGAAATAACTGATTTTGTAAGGATCAAGTTGAGCTCGTTGTCTTGAAGATGTAAATTATCACCCTTGAATTTTTCATATAAATCTTTCTGTCTTTAAATCTTTCATATAAATTTTTCATATAAATCTGCCAAAGTCTTTCTTAAATTCTAGCAATCTGTCTCACAGAGATACATCTCAGTTTCCGAGGAACTCAAGCAAAGAGTCAAAAAGATTCCAATACCTATTGAGACAGAAGCTTTTGAAAGCCAGCGAATCTCGGTGTATAGTAGCAAGCGATTGAATTCTTCATTGTTTTTCTTACTCAGCTGTCTGAATCGTGGAAAGCATTACTGTAAATTTTGTTCACAGCAAGCATGCATATTGCAATGATTGATGCAAACGGTCGCTGAGATTTTTCCTCCTAAATGCTATCTGTGAATCACGCAGTGAACAGCTAAAATATCAGGTACCTCCCTTTCCAAAAAGGCAATGTCGACCCACCATTGCAGGAGCCTATCAGTGGCAATAGACATTTTATTCGCAAGAGGAATGTTTTTCTCTTTAAAATAATTTTTGAGAGTGTTAAAAATAGATTTACCTTTGATATCTATAATCAAGCTTCTTGCCAAAAGCATCTCTTGAATAATTTTTCCTACCTTTACAAACTGGACCTATGCCTACTGTAAAGCCTACATTACCTGGCAAGGTTGATTCATCAACTTGAAGGAAAATTCGTTGGATATCAGAAGTTTGCATAAAGAAATTTCAACGCCTTCAGCCATCTCATCATTTCGTCACCGCACTGCATCGTTGCTTATGGGATATTTTTTTATTACAGTGGGTGCGGCTGGATGGTATAAAATTGCTTCTAAAGCTTCCTTGACAACCGTCAGTATCAACTCTGTTCCGATGATATGAGCTTTCCCAGATTTAGCAATAAATTTTTATATATTATAAGAAGCTATCAAACAATCGTCGTATTTTTGTGATGATGTTGCTAGTAACCCTGAGACCAAAGGTGCCTTCAGAAACGTGAGAAAAGATGTTCGTGAAAAATGACAAACCTTTAATTTGTTTGTCAGGATGAGTTTTTTGTAAATGCTCCTACTAACGGTAAGATTTCATTACCTCATTAGATAAAACTTTATTACAAAGTAAACACATGGGTAATAGAGAGTTCAGCAGTGATTGAACGAATCCCAACTTCAAACAAATATGTGGCACTGTATTGATGACACTTCTTTTTGTTAACCGACATTGTTGGCGGCAGCAAAATACAAGCGATGAAAGAAAATCAATTATTTCTCAAAATTAATAAATAATTTATGGTAAAGAACTAATTCGCGCACGTACCTGGCCAAGTAAACTATGAGATCCAATCGAAACTGGAGAAAAAATCATAAGGAAGCTAACGAAAATCATTATAAGAAACACGGGTCAAATCAAAAATTCATACTGAAAGTGCATGCACTTCAATTTCCACTAAATGACTTGTATGAGTCAGAGGCAAAAACTACTGACTCATGCGCTGAACTGTGTTGGTTCGGATTAGAGAATAGGTGTCGTAGAAGTTCGTTTTATTGCTGGTACAAATAATGTATCGGATAATCTTGATTTTTTATATTAATTTAATCTTTTTTTTCTCTTTAATATTAATTTTAGATTAATTTTATTTATTAAATAAATCTTAATTTAATAACTTTATTTGTAAGTTTTAAAATTAAATTTGAATGACAAAACATGCTCATCTCCCCCCTACAGCCCAAAACATATCCAACGCCCCCCTATCGCCCAAAACAAATTCACCGCCCCTCAGCATACTCCCAGCGCCCCCAGGGAGGCGGTATCGCCCCCGTTGAGAACCAATGCTTTAAAGTCAGCGTAACTAAACTTTGTTTTTATTCCCCAACTTTAGCAAAAGTGAAAATTCAAAAGCAAGTCTTATAAAAAAAAATTACAACTGCCCTCAAACATATTTGAAAGTAATGATATAAAAAGTAGTTAGTAGCGATATGTAAAAATACATAGTTAATGTTTAGACATTGGGAACTTTGGCGTCTAGTGAATTAACTAAGAAAAAGTAATTTTCTGTGAGACTGAAGTCTACAGTTTCTACATTTATAATTAATTTTAAGTTAAGATTTTAATTTTTATTAATATACAGTGAATTCGCGATAACTCGAATCTGATAGNTTCATTGGAAACTTTTCATTTTCTCTTTTTAATCTCTTTCGTTTTCCTCTTTCACGTCTGGTGAGTCTCTATAATTAGTACTATAATTAGTACTATTATAATTAGTAGAATTTTTCAGCACTTTAAACATGTTGTATTTTATTACTGCCTTTATAATATTTTAATCAAATGAAGTTATTATTTACTGTCTTTATAATATTTTAAGCAAATGAAGTTATTATTTTATCAGGTATTCTCTTAGGATATTTCATATTTATTTTTCTGTTGATTTTAAAAATAAAAAAAAGTTCTTTAAGAATAAAAGTTTAATATTCTAAAGCTCTGGAAATACAGTCAAACCTCGATATCTCAAACTGGAATAGAGAGGGAAAAAAGCATTTGAATTACCATGTATCAAAAATTACATGTTATCTGCATTAAAATAAGGAAAAAAAGATTTTTACTTCCCCAGGAGTGGGGGATAGACATTTATAAAAAAATTAAACTACAAATACAATTTTTATAACAATATTATTTAAATACATATTTATATCCATATACTTTAGAGTCAGCGTAACTAAACTTTGTTTTTATTCCCCAACTTTATCAAAAATGAAAATTCAAAAGCAAGTTTTATAAAAAAAATTTACAACTGCCCTCAAACATATATTATTTAATTGAAGGTAATGATATAAAAAGTAGTTAGTAGCGATATGTAAAAATCCATAGTTAATGTTTAGACATTGGGAAATTTGGCATCTAGTGAATTAACTAAGAGAAAGTAATTTTCTGTGAGACTGAAGTCTACAGTTTCTACATTTATAATTAAGTTTAAGTTAAGATTTTAATTTTTATTAATATATATTGATATAGATATATATGCTCAAAATGGGAATTTAATTTTATAGTATCTATGCTGAATAGTAAACTAAATATCTGTAAAATATTAATTTCATATTTTTTTTATGAATTTCCTGTATTATTTAAGTACTGATATATGTTTTTTTTTCTTTCATTTTTAGACAAATACTGGCGCACAAATGGAAAATACCTGTGCACTAACTATTTTACCAGTTATTCCAAAATGGAAGATTTATAACTCAGTTCCAAAAAAACCTGTCAAATATTGTGCCATTCTAAAAGAGAAAAGTAAGAAACTATTTTCTATGTTTTGCAGTATTTTTTATTCTATAAATTTCTTTCAAAGTATGATTTTATTTTTTTGTTCTAGGAGAATTTCAAAACTTATTGGAAAATGTTGTAAGTTCATATTTATTTCATTATAGATTCAGCTTATAATGTATACAACATATACATTATTTTTTCATACCTATACTTTTTCCTTTTTTATCTAGCTAAATCATTGCACAGAAAAACTGAAAATCGGTTTTCGCAATGAAACATCATCCATTTAGAGGTACATATTGTCAGCTTAAAAATGTCTAGCGGAAAAAGTATTAAATATACAGTCATAACTGTTAACTCTACTGAATTTTATTAGTGTCTCCTGGTCTACAGACTTAAATAAAGTGAATAACTTTCTGCAAGCACAAAATTTCAATTAAAATAATTTCTGCAGGCATTGATTAACTCTTGTGACTAGTTTCAACTCTTTGGTCGCAACCTGGTTTTGACGAAACTGGTTTGTAAATATTTGTAAAAAAATTTTTATTTGATTCTATATTAATGCATACAACAGGGATGAGTTTTGAAAAAAAGAAAACTGAAAATAAAAATCCAAACAGATTTTGTGCAAAAAGCACTCTTTAAGTAATTGAATAAATACTTGAAATTTGAGTGAGAAGAAAAAAGTGTATGTAGGAAGCATTTATTCACAGAATGTTATCAAAGTTTTAATAAAAGTATCTTTGGCATGGGTAAAAAAAAGTGTAAAAATGTATCCTTTTTTTTTCTTCTTGGGAATATAAAGAAGACAAATTTTCTTTGAAAAGGCAAATGAATTAGTTGTATTGAAAAATTTTCCGTGATGGTAAAAAATTTACAGCAAACGGCGTTTGTGTATATTATATGGGTCTGCTGGTCTACTAGTTTAATCAAAAATTCTCATGGTTTTTGTACATGTATAAAATTTTTTTAAATGTAAGAAAGTTTCAGAAGAAAAGAAATTCCTATAAAAATCGATATTTTACCACTCATTGAATATTGCTTTGTTTTAGTTCATATTAGAAATGTTTGCATCAAATAATCTGCTTTAGTTTTGTTTCTTGTTTGACCCACTGACAGTTTTGTAAACTAGCAAAATTGTCAGGATGTTTCTCCTCTATACACTATTTCCCTATCTAATAACATTAAAAAATTGGGTTTCGATATGCGGAGAAGACTGCATGTTGAGATACGACTTTTTACATGCGGAACTGGCAGTAGGTTATTATTTTTTTTATTATTATTAAAACGGTATAATTTACTTTTTCAATTTAATGTTTGTTTTTCAATATTTGCACCTCGTATTTTTCGCATCAAATAAAAAAAAAAGAGTCTTTCTTCATTTATATTTATTCATAAAAAGAGAAAATGCAATTTATCTTCTGCTTTCTTTAATATAAATTGTATCAGTGTTTATTTTAAATTTTTAAGATTCTTTAGTCATTTAACCGATAACAAAATGATATTGTATGAAAACTGATTTTGATTATTTCTTGTTTATTTATTTTTTATTGATTGAGGCACGTTTTGATCTTTATTTACGTTAAAAACCTATAGCAGTATAATCTGGTCCGATTGTTTCTCAAGGTACCATTTATTATGAACGATAAATACGAGAGAACGACAGTTGCTGCGGGTCGCTGTCAAATAATGACTTTAAAATGTATGAAGAGTAATAAACAAAATAATGGGGTCTCAGAAATTAATAACTTTACTTCAAGTATAAAAAAGTTTAATTGGAAAAATTATGTACTTAGTGTTAAAATATTTATAGTGCAAAAGGATGAGTAAATACATTTATTTATTTTTAAAATATTTCGAAATTTTGAAGGATTGAACAAACTCTTTTCTTTTTAGCAGAAACAATAAATATCTGACATTTCTAATTGATTGCTGTTCATTTTTCTGTAAGTTCATGGGAATACCGAAAGTTCCTCAATATTTCAAAGACTTGAAGAGACTTTCCGCAATTGTGTGTGCTAGTTTTTATTAAGTTGGCCTGATGGATCAGTATCACTTTGCACCTTCTCAGCCAATGCAACCTTTTCTTGAATATAAAACACAAATTTCAACATTCCCATCAACTGATACATAAGCATCAAACCCAATGTTTGGGGTTTTTTCCCCTAAATTGTAACAAATCCTCAATTTCTTCATCATTAGCATCAGGAGCTACTGTTTTTTGTCTCAAAACGATTTAACTTCAATGTTTTTCTTTAATGTTCGTAAACTATATGAACAATAGATGTGGAAATCTGCTAGTTTTAAAAATGATTTAAATGAGAGTTATTATCATTATAAGACTAGCATTTGTGACTGGACTATTAAAACAATATAATATAAACAGGAAAATGAAACATGTGGGAACAATAGATCTGGGTTTAGTATTATAAATCTCTATTTTCTGTACTTTACAAATTTCCAAGATTTCAAGTTCCACGTATAGTTTGAATAGAAAAAAAGTTTAAGAACCTGATACTCTAAGACTAAAAGAATTTCAATTGAAACTTTTTCGTACGAATTTCTGTGAAGAGGCAAGTAATTTATTTACAATTACAGAAGTCTGCATTTTTTTTAACAGACTGAATTATGTGTATAAATTATTATAGTCATAAGCTATATCGCCTTACAAAATCATACCATTAAAAATGATTTTTCATTGATTATTGTTGGTTACTTAAAGTTGAAAGTAGTTGTTTTGAGTCACTTTTTTTGTGCTTTAGTATAAGATTGTGTAAAACAGTTTGTATTGTACTTGTATGATGCCTAAATAATTATAAACAAAAAATGCTTAGGGTATCATTAAATTTTTTCTGTTTGTGAAAATTTTATAGTACTAAAAATTCCAGTACAATAACTGGTTTTTAAATTATTTTTGAATTATATACACAATTTCAAAGCAAAGATATGAAAAAAGTAATATAATTAAATAATTGAATTTATTGGAATAACATTTGCAATATTTTTTTCCCCTGTATTCACTTACTATATTTTCAACCAGTTTTTATTTTCTTATCTAGAAATATTTTAACACCATCATCAGGCAGTTAATTATTTTCAGTTTTTGCATTGATTGCATTTTTTAAACTTTGCATTTTTATAATATATATTTTATTGTGCATTTATTAACATAAAAATATTCAAACTACTTTATTAAAAAGTTCAATTGAAAAAAGCATTATAAAATAAACTATTTATATAGCTCAAATGTTTGCTGTTTTTTTTAAAAAAATTAAAAAGAAGAAACATAAAAATTGGTAATAATAAAATGTAATATCATATCTGGTTTCTGTAATACATTATCTGGTTAATGTGCTTTAAAAATGACTAGATAATTTATTCATTTTTTTTATGCAGAATTAACTTCTAATAAAAAGCTATGATTTTTTTTCCTTGCAATTATTTCAACAACATATCTTATAGTAAATGTTGTTTAAATAGATAAGTAAATGGCAATTGATTCATTCATAAAATAAAAGTAGTTCATAATTTTTTATAATTAATGAAAAGCATTTAAAGTAAGGTATTCCTATCATTATCAATATTTGCAGTATTTATCAATATACGGCAGACTACTCTAACTGCATAGAAGGATATACTAGTATTTTAATATATGTAAAATTCTCAGAATATTTTAATATTCTTTTGATGAAGTTTAAATTTGGGTGTGTAACATATATGTTTTCTTAGATTATTTTTTCTCAAGTTACTTTTTTATTTAATTCATGATTTGTTATAATCAATATACATTTGTATATTTATGAAAACTAATGTTTGTTCATTTTATTTTAGTTTTCAAAAAAGGTGAAGAATTCATGCTCTATTATTGATAAAAAGAAGATTGATACCTCAAAGGATAAAAAAAGTTTAGAAATTATTTTTCTCAACCAGGAAGAAAAGGATTTGCTATCTTTAAACCTTTCTATAAGTGAAAAACATGCACTAAGAAGGAGAAATAACTTGTTAATATTTCTTAAAAACAATTCCAATAATATAAAATACCATATTGAAGATGGCAGTATTTATGTAAAATGTGATGTTAACATTCAGTGGCATATATTTTATGACTTGTTTGAGTTTCTTCTTGTAAAGTATGGCATCTGCAATATTGGTGCTCTTTTCTATTGTGTTCTTTTTTCTGGTTGTATGTTAAAGCAAGAAATAAGATTTCTATGTTGTAAACCAATAGACATCAGTAGCCCTTCATATAATTTTTTACTGGATTTACGTGAAAGTACTTCGATTAAAAACTCTTGCTTAACTTCAAGGAAGTTACCAAAACGGGTGAGGTCTTATCAAAATCATCTCGATGACAATCTTGTCCCAGCAGATAGCCAAGAATTATCATGTAAGATTCTTTCAGACCTGATACCGTGTCGGAAAACTATGGATATGAATAGCATAATGCCCAAACAAAAGGTTCCCAGGCTGGATTGTTTTTGTTCGGAAATACATTGTAAATGCCATGAGACTGAATGGAAACTTCACAGAAAAATATCCAAATGCAGTGTAGATAGTTATATGGATATATTACTGAAGAAAGGTGTGACCTCCAATGATGAACTCTCCATCGCTCAGGGTGAATCTAGTTTTAGCTCAACCTTTGGTAATTTTTCGAATCAAGATTTTGATTCATTATTAAATAATGTTATAGAAAACTCTGATCCTCCTATAGACTTATTGCCAAAGAGAAAGGATTTACCGTTGAGTAAATCTCAAAATTGTGATAGATATTCTCAAAATCCTGGTAATCCGTGTGGAATTTCAACAAGCAATATAGCACCTGGATTAATAAATAGCCCTGCAAGAAATAAACTTGAACCTAAACCTGAATCTTTATTAAAAGCCATTAATCTTTTGAATGAAGACATGGGGGGAAATGAAAATTTTTCTTTTTTACTTGAGGAGTTTTCAGATAAGAAAAAATGTACAACTCCTTTTAATATGTTTCAGACTGCATCCGGTAATAAGGTTAATATTTCAGATTCAGCTTTAAAAAAGGCTGAAGAAATGTTTACTGAAGTAATGCAGGCTGAGGGTGATTCTGTCAGTGATGATAAAAGTGTAAATGTGTTACCAGAAAATAAATTTAAAGCAGAAAGGAGCATGTCTTCTTCCGATCACAAATCCGCTAACATGCCAGGACCAGTGAGAGATAAGCATTTGAGTGACAATGTTGATGGAATGTTAGTGGATGGCTTTTTTGAAGATATCTGTTTTGATGAAAATGATGAATGTTTGACTGATGCCTCTCAATCTTCTTCAATGTGCAATAATAAACTTAAAAAACTATCTTCTGTCGGTAAAGTTCGGAAAAGCCTTGGCGGAAGAAGATCGCTGAAACCTTATTCAAAAAAGATTGAGATACCTGATGTTAAAAATCTTTGAATGAGTTTTTATAAATCCTTTCATTCCATTAGTAATTTTTACTAGTATAGTTTCGAAATAATGAATTTATCCAAAAATGTTTTAATTACAATACAGCTGTTTCAAACAGACATATAATTTTATCCACAGCTTCCAATTCTATTGGATTTTCCAGTAGACTACTGGATTTTTCCAGTTTCTACTAGTTTACTTAAAATTATCCTGGTTTTTGTACATTTTAGAAAAATCCCTTAAATTGAGTAAGCTTCCTAAAAAAAATCCTTATTGCAATGGAATTTCTATACAAATTATTGCTTGCTTGCTTGAATATTTAAATAAGTATAACTAATGCATAATGAAGCGAACCTCATTTATAGTAATCGGTTCAAAACTTTCTTTGTTATGAAATGTTCAGTTTATTTTTATTCAGAACTTTCTTTTCAAATTAATTTTTTAAAAAAACTTTTATCTATCTTTGATGAATTAAATGCCTTTTAATATTGTAAATTATGAGTATACATAATACATTACATTTCAAGTATGTTTAATGTAAATCATAACTGGAAAATATTGCAATTTTTTCTAATTTGGTGACTATAAAAATCCGTAAAATTCCTTACGTGAAATATTTAGTACATTATGCAGCAATTATCATAAAATTCTTATTATTTCATAAAATCTTCTGAATTTTTTCCTATCCATGTTGGCAGCTATATTTTTATCTACATGTTGTGTAATAACAGGTAATGGTTTATTTGCTACATAGTTGCTCATATTGTGATTGCATATTTTGTTCTCTGTTCGATACAGTAGAATCACAGTACCATTCTATTCCTGTCACTATAGCCATAAAGAAATAGAATGTCTTATGCCATACCTTAATATAAACTATTGCATTTTTTTATTTATTATTATTTGAAAGTGGATTTGATCAACTATGTATGAATCAAGTGTTTAGATTTCAATGGTGGATAATTATAATTTAACTTTTCCAAGACGGATATTTATTTTTTGTTAATGTCCAATACATTTTGTTGTGAGAAAAATATTCATTAACATTATTGTTTTTTTTTCTACATGCGTAAGTATCAACATAATCTATTTTGGAGGCAGATTGCCTGATTAGGATGAATTGAGTTAAATTGCAGATGTGATAGAATTATAACTACTTTTTGAGACAAAATGAAAAAGATTTGCTATTAATCTCCATTGTTATGAGCCTCTTATATGTTTTGTGGACATTTATTTGAGGATGCTTATTTATTTTTGTGTAACAATCAATAAAAACATTTCTTAATTTCAAGTCAATAAAAAGTTGTCTATGTGGTCACATATTTGGCAAAAATATTTATAAATATTTAGACCTTTCAAAACAGGCCTTAAGTTAGCTTTTATTTTTTGGGTCGAAAAATGTAATTTTAAAAAAAAAATAATTTAAAGCAATGAATGTGCAAAACAAATTTTAAATTTCAAGTTCAAAAATATGAAAGTTAGAATATAAAATAACTAATTAAAAAATAGTTTAGATTATGAAATAATAGTATAAAATGCAATATGTACATGATGCAACCAAACCAAACATACCAAAATATACATAATACTTTTTATCTAACCAGAAATCTACATAAAAACTAACCCAAAGATTGTGCTGAAAATTGAAAATATGTTATGGAAAATTGAAGTATTCTATAGACCTAAGACCTGCAACTCTTTATCAGATAGAAATTTTGAAATTCAAAAAAAATTGTGATGCAACCTAATATATAATAATTAAAATTATATTTGCAACATTACAAGTTAGTGCATATTTTCAATAATTGTTAGATGTAACAAAATTGCAATTACTTTTTGAGTCACTGTATGGCCATAAATGAAAAGAATATTGCCTTTTCATGAGCTATTACATTTTTATTTCACTTTTGCTCCTTACATATTTTGAAGACTCAAAATATAACAAGATTTGAATTTGAAATGCTCTAGGCCAAAAGTTTGTTATGGCTCTACTTTTTGAAGGGAGTGAAACATTGTATTATAATCATATTAAGAATTTTTGTAAACATTAAAATTATTTGAAACATTATTTATGATCTGAGTATTCCTTAGGTTTGAACCATATTCTTGAGACTTCATTTAATCCAATGTCAATTATTCTGTAGCGAAAAATTCTTCTGCTTTCATAAGTTATTTTCTTTCTAATTTATATGTTCTAAATTATATAGAAATGTCAGATTTTATCAGACCATATATTTGTTCCAAATGAAATAAAATTGAATAAATGACATATTTGTTCTTAATAATTTTTTCTTTGTATAAATATAAAATAATTAAAAAATATTTATTATTTCATACAAAGCTGAATTTTTTAAAAAAAGTTGCTTAACATGAATAATTGTATGTGGTTTGTGAAAATATCACCTCTTTGTTATGTAAAATAACAAATTATCTTTCAGTTACGTCATTTAAAAATTAATCAAAATAAATTATAATTAATTTATACTGTGGAGAAAATTATTATAAACGTTATTAATAAGAAACATTGCTTAATTATTGCACAGTAGGGTATGATATCGAAAATTTCAATTTTCAAATATGACCAATGTTATACTAATTTATTAAGTACATTGTTACGTAAATAAGCATATTTTTATTATATACTACGTTTTTATAAACCCGCTTTCGTGTATGAGAGGCTAGAATCCTGTTAATTTAATTAGTATCGAGATTGCATATCCGAAATTCTTGATTATCTCAATACCCTTCCTCTTCGCCTAGAATCTTGCTGTCACAATTTCTACTATGTTCTGACTGGCATTCGGTTTTTAACTATGGTGCTTTCCAGTCAATGCTTTAAGCTAAATATGTCTTTAGTGATTCCGTTTACGCTCTAGAGCGCGTCAAATACGCCAAAAATCTCTGAGGGGACACAAAAAATAAGTTGTGAAGTGCCCCCTGGGACGCGTAATTCAGCGCCGGGGGGAAATAAATTGATAAAATAACGCTTCAGCAGGTGTAAACAAGTAAAATTTCAACCTAACTTTAAATATACATGTTCATGTAAAAACCCGAAGTTTGGTAAGTTTTAGAATTTACCGGTAAAACCTATGATTTACCGAAATAGCTTGGTAACTACTAAGTTTTACCGCTATGGTTGAAATGGAATCACATTAAAGCATACTTCAAACTTTTACCGGTTAAAACCTAAGATTTACCAACTTCGCGTTTTTATCGTAACATGTTACGGAAAATTGGAATTCGAAGTATGTAATTACACCGCTGTTTTTCTTTAAAGTGGTAGAAAATTCATATTTTGAATAGGACACTTTTAGAGCAAAAAGGGACCCAAAAATATAGGCCTTAGGGCCCGTAGTGTCAAAAGACTAGCGGAAACAATAATCAGCATTTTATAGCCGCATAGAATTTAAGGTCAATTGTAATTTCGACTCCTATCTGACCAAGAGTGCCCAAATTTAAATTGGAGGTGTAAATTATAATAGTTTTTTAAGAGTTGCATGCAAACTGTCCTTTTCGTAACATAACAAACTAACAGACACAAAACTAAACATTGGAAAAATAATGAAATTTTAAAAAAAAATTACTTTTGTGAAGTAAATTGAACAGGAAGAAACAATTCAATTTTTGTCACGTTTAAAACATACTACGCATCACTTTTCGAATAAAACTATCAAGACCAAAGATTTAGTTCCGTAGGTCTCTCGAATGTGTGGCAAAGAAAAAAAAAAGAATTTTTTCTATTTTGCTCTATTTCCAAAAACATTTTTTTTTTCTTTTATTTCCTTGTTTTAAAAATATTTGTGAAAAAGTTGGGGCTTCTGATACGCACCACTTGACAATAAAGATTCCAGATAAACAGTTTTAATTTGAAAAAAAAAAGTTCACTCAAAAAACGTACAAGATCGTTTATTATAAACCAGTCTAATACGTGGCAATATATTGAATTTACTATTCAAAAGCATTAAAAGAAAAAATTATCAATCATCGTATAAATCCTCCTGTTGTTTGTCATCAATAATCCTTTTCAACGCAACATCTTTTCGATTCTTGGGTCCAACACACGTTCCTTTTAATACATAGGGTCGTGACACTTTAAACATCCATTCTATTCCAGAGTCACATTCTAAGGGATTACCTGAAAGGTGGGGAAAAAACTAATTTTAAAAAAAAAAAAAACGATCTCTGCATATCTGTATCAATTTGTTTTGAAAGATCCTCAAATATTTACATAATTAACACTTCGGTACTTTTTACTTTCGTCACACTAGAGCTGCACGGGCGTTGGGTCCATGTCCTAGGGGTTATGCGTTCGATTCCCTCCGGCCGAAGACTTCTCGTGTAGTAAATGGAGACTGGTGCACGCTAAACCTGTCGGGTCGCAAAATCTTCCGTTTTCCGATAACAAATTATACCTCTGGGGGAAATTCGCTTGGTTTTGCCAAGCAGGCTTGCTGGTATTGGCAAGTGACATTAGAAACAACAACAATGCTGCACAATGGGCTATTGGCGACGGCTTGGGAAACATACCTGAGGATGATCCGGGGGCGACATACATACGTAACATTCCGTTTTACAGGAAGGAAACATTCACACTCCATCCTTCAGCAGATCTAATTTTGACCTGAACCAGAGCATGATATCCATCTCCGATCCTGTAACCCCAAAGGTATTGATTTATTATGGGAATTTTGAGGACTTTGTGACCCCGACAGATTTAGCGAACAAAATTAATACAGGAATAAAAATAGCAAAATATTACCTAAGTTAATTTTGTATTTCTTTTAATCCTATTTTGAAACAGTGACCATATCGACCATAAACCCTCTGGCAACCAAATAAAAATTAGCACTGTCATAAAAGTTATCAAGAGGGCAATTCAAAAGAGGGAAAAACGTATGGCAGCTTATTAAGTAATTAAAGTCAATAAAAGCTATTAAAGAACACGGGTGCAGTTAGAAGTATTGACCATGCCAATATGACTTTGGAGAAATCCAATCAACAGTCTGAAATTAGCTGTGGAGACTACGTGAGGAGGGTTCATTGGGAATGGTGAGTGCTAGAGCTCCAGGCCTTGCAACTTCAATCTATCTATATTTAAATGTAACTATCTCTAGTTACATTATTACCTACACTACGTAACCGGTGGTAGACACTATGAAGAAATCATTGAGTTAAAAAAAAAGCCTCAGAGCATCATATGGTCGTGAAACCGCATTTATACGAAGATAAATCTGAGGGATTTGAAATTCCTAGAATGAGAATATTGTTTCTGTAAGCATTTTCTAGATATTTCAATGATTAAAAAAAGATAAGGTATACTTTGTGCCATAGATAAAGCAAAAAAAAATCTGGAAAAAAAACATAAATGAAAGTAGAGAAATGGACATACTACACTTTCGGTTCTATAAACAAAATCGGCGGATGTGGACTTCTCTAATTCTGCGTTGTTCAGTGATGAAGCAACCTGGGGTGTTCAATACGCACAGCAACGCTTCGCTGTTAATGTGTGGGCGGTTATTTTGGGGGACAATTTAATTGGGCCACCTCGACTGGACGCTCTCAAGTACCTCGTATTTCTTCGAGAGGTACTTCCCGAAATGCTTAATGATGTCTCTGCCCATGTTCGGCGGGGAATGCGATTTCAACAGGACGAAGCACCATTTCATTAAGAAAGGTGTGTACGAGATCATTTGGACCGGGCATATGGAAACAATTGGATTGGGCGTGGTGGTCCCCTTGCTTGGCCTCCCAGATCACCTGATTTATCTCCTCTTGATTTTTTTTTCTCTGGGGTGCTATGAAAAGCATTGCGTACGACACGCCCGTAAATTCTGGAATGAACCTGGTGGCACGAATCTCCATTACTGCTGCCACGATCAGTGACACGTCAGGTATCTTCGAAAATATTCGCCACTCCATGTCGCGTAGGTGTAGTGCCTGCCTCGTGTGTCAGTTTTAGTGTCTTTATGTCTCTTTATTACGTGAGGGTGGCGTTTCTGCGCATACTTTCCTATGTAATTATAGCTCCTAACCAATGTTTTCTATCTTCTCTTCAAGTTTATATATAGCATTCTGGACCACCCAACCAAAAATATAGTATGCCCATTTCTGTACTTTAATTTGTGCTTCATTCACGTTGTTTTTTCTTATTTTAAACCTTATAACGCAGATTTATCTCAAATCTTTAGGTAAATGAGCTTGCGATATTTTACTTTCATTAATCAATAAAGATTGTTAGACCGGGGTTACCTAGGTGGCAGGACGCTGGACTCACGTTCGTGAGAACGGGGAGTTCGAATCTAACCGGCAGGAGACTCCCCGTTTAGTAAATGGTGGCTGGTGCACGTTAAATCTATCGGATCACAAAGTCCTCCATGTTCCCATAACAAATTATACCTCTGGGCTACTAAATTGGAGATTTATCGTTCCCTGGTGATGAATGAATAGATGTCTGAATGAATCCGCCCTATAAACGGGTGTGACGTATGGGTGTGTCAGGAATCCAATTCTTGACCGTAGAAGGCGCCACTTATAAACAAGTACAATCGCACCCCTTGCCTTAATAGCCTATGACAACAACATTAAAGAAGATTTGGCAGATGATGTAAAGTTGAAATACACATTTTGCACAATGCAATTTTCTAATGATTAAAATTTTATTTATGGTTTAATTTGTCGTCAAATGAGTCATGATGCTTGTTATACTAATAACGAATTTGAGATTTGTTAGAAAACGCGAAATAATATTAAGCAAATATGCGAACAAATTTGATCCCCTCCCCGGAATAAAATCCTTGCGAAGGCCCTTTTAGGTTTACTGTTTTAGAACGGAGCAAGTTTGTATGCAGTTGGAAAAAAATATCTTATCGTTCACCAGTTGCAGAAACACACCATCTCATTTTGTTTGAAAATTATGCATAAGTTTGGCCTGATAAAATCAAAACGATTACGTAACACAGTGTTAAGTTACTTACAGCGTAACCTGTAAACGTTAAACGTTCATTATTATCCTTTTGTAGGTTTTATAACTTACTTTCCAAGTAAACACTTCTCAATCGACTCCAAACAGGAGACCATGTTGCTTCTGTAACATATTGTATTTCATTTTCTGCAAGAATAACTTCCTTTAAGGCTGGCATTTTTGAAAAGATGTCGTCAGGCAAAGTAGAAATTTCGTTGTTTCTGCAAAGTTAGAATAACATTCCCTTAAAGAGTTGTTATTAAAAACAAAATAGTGTTATTTAAAAATGTTTAATATTTGATTGATTAAATTAAAGTTTTTTTTTACTTGTTTTGGCAGAAATGAATTATCCATTTCATACATTTTTGGCCTGGTCAGAGATTTAAAATTGCATGTGAGATATAAGTAACAATATTTTAAAAATAAGATTGGCTTTCTTCTATAAAATATTCTTTCTTAATTGAATTAATTTTGAGATTGAAAAAAAATTGTAAGGGGAGGAGTAAAAATAATGTAACAATTTTTTATAATTTACACTATATTTCTCCTTCTATATAAATGAATGACACTTTATATTGGATCGATTTTTTCGTAAATAAACAAACAATTGTCAAGTCATAATTAGTTTAAATAAATCTTATCTTCTACATAGGTTTGTTCATTAACAAATGGGTGCAAAAACCCCAAAGAAAAAGTAGCTAACAAGAAAACACTGCTCCCTTGTTAGTTAAAAACAAAATCCCAATCCTATCGAAATGAAAAGGGAATTAGATACCATCAAGCAGCAAGTGGATCAAATAACCACATTCGACACACATGCGTAACGTCGTTTGCAAGTATATATCCAATTAAATCTTATCCAAGAATTTATTCAGAGAGATAATAAACCCCCCACTGTTGTATAATGTGCACAACGGAGCCGCGATGGCTCAGGGGATAGAGCGTTCGCTTTCCTATGGGGTGAACCGGGGTTCGATCCCGGCAATGGCTGGTCGATACGAATTCCGCATCCGTCTTGCACCGGCCACAGTGCCGGCGTGAAATTTCCACAGTGGTAGACGGATCATGGGTTAGAGTCCCCTTGCCGTCAGGCTAATCGTGGGAGGTTCTCGTGGTCTTTCTCTCTACGTAACGCAAATGCGGGTTAATTACATCAAAACAGTCCTCCAAGAAGGCAAATTTCTCCCAATACTCGATCCAGGAATTCCATTGTCTTCTGGATTGGGTTCAAAATGACAAGGATACGAAGTTGAACATTAGTAGTCATAAACCCGAAAATTGGGTCGGCTGTTCAACGACCGTTATAAAATAAAATAAAAAATATGCACAACGACGTGATTCGACACAACTATGTGATTAGTTACAATTTCCCGATTGAGAATTACTGTGAAGTGTGGTAATTGAAATAACTGTTCTAGTGCAGTGTGGTCGATTTCTGTAAAACATCGATATTTTACTTAAGTTAAATGTGTCTTGGTAGCGGATCTTAGAAATAAAATTACATTTATCGTGCGCATCTATGATTTGAGTTTCCCTCCCAATCCACAGAGCCACCACGGTACGTAGTACATAGATTTTATAACAATTGTTTAACAGCCCACCCAATTCTGAGTTTATGACAATTAGTGTTCAACTCCATAACCTTGTATTTTTGAATCCAACCCAGAAGACAAGTAAACTTCTAGATCAAGCAGTGAGACAAACTAGCCTTTGTGGAAGATGGATGGAATTAACCAACATTTACGTTACGTGGAGAGGAAAACCTCTGCACGCAAGGGGATTCTAATCAGAATATGTCTACCACTGAGGATATTTCTTGGATTTATTCAAAATATTGCTTCTATCTATGCCACGTGTATTATAAAATCTACGCGTTAAAGATTCGCACAATGAAACTTATTTTCTTCCTATAGTTTTTTTTCCATTGCCCACCTGGATTGACATTCTTCAATTCAAGCGTATTAGGACAGATTTGTTGGCCACTCCTTCAAGGGCATCATATTTAGTTGGACCAACGCTGCTCCTACAGGAAGAAGTAGAGAAAGAAAGAAAAGTCATGCCCTTTCCGGGATTCGAACCTAGAAACTTTCTGACGCACTTCCATTGAAAAATATGTTTTATTGTTTATTGAATAAAAAATATTATACACTGATGAAATATTTCCATTTATGGCAAAAATATGGCCTGAAATTTTATTGATATTTTCAGACAAAACCAGAAAAGTCTTGCAATTTTATTTCTCATATTAAGAGGGAACTTCTCATCTTATTCATTGCATTTGACGCCACTTTTTCCTTTCCTCAATTTTTCTTTTCTCTGGTTTGTCATCATTCCACAATAAAGCCTTCATATTTATTATGTTGATTTAAATAGAACCCATAGAGTGTTTTGAAATTCATCTGACACATCATGAACTGATAATGTCATGGCAATCCAGCTGGAAAATGACATTTCGAAAAAAGAATTAAAATGTTCCCTTGTCAAGTAGATGTTACTTAAATGCAAAATGTGGTGGAATCGTTAGACTTTATCATCCAATACAGCTTGCTTATAGAAAAACTGATTATTAAAGGTAAGTGTCTCACATTTCGATTGCCCAGGATGCTTTCAAAACTCTTAAATAATATGATAGCTAAACCACTCACAGTTGTACTTCACTTCTGAAAAAAGTGTTAAGAACTACATAGTTTAGTTTGTGGAAAATTTTCTAGTCTTATTATTATTTATTTATTTATTTTATTAAGTCGTTTCTTAATTTCAAATTCAAAATGTTTTTTTGCATTTTCATATTTTATTTTATTTGATATAGTAGCTGGTTTATATCATTTTTAATGCGCTGTTCGGCTTTGAAAAAAAATATCTCATGAACACACAACTTATTTATCTTGCAANATATATATATATATAATTGTGTATTATACGGACAAGGCTTTTACAACATATATCGCATAGACAAAGTCTCACTCATCGTAATGTAAAATAAAATAGTTTTTATCAACAAACAACTTTTCCATTATTTTGTATGAAAAAATACGAAACGAAATGCTGATTTCAACTTAGAAGATTCGAGTTGATATAGTCCCCGTTAATTTTCCAGATATGATGCTCATTTTATATAAACTTTATCCTAAAATGTATGGCTCTCTAAGTGAACTAATCACAAGATACGGTTCCTAGTAGATCAATGAGTGGATGAGGGACCACTTTGATTAGCTTGCAAGGGAACCGAGGGTGCGTGGTATCGGTCTGTGTTACTTTTCTTGTTAAGTAACTCGACTTCGCTCTCAGGTCGTCGAGCGTACCGTAGCAGGAGAGCCATCCCCTCTGCAGCGGTTCAAAATTGTGATGGATCATTCTCATGGATGCTCATTGATGTCAACGCTTATACTGCAGCGTTACTGCTACGCAAATAAAGTACTACTACTTAGAATGTGATGCAAGAATTTCTTATAAATTTTTTAAAGAAAGCAGATGAAAAGTCGTCGGTTTCCGTACAACAATTATAATATCAAATAAACCGCCGGTTTTTCATCTGCTTTCTTTAAAAGTTTTATTAGAAATTCCTGCATCACATTTAAAAATAAAATTTTATATAAAATCAACTTTATGACTTAAAATTGACTGAAACTGTATCAACTCGTTTTTTATGAGTTACCCTCAATATTTTATTTTTTCGGCTTCTCTTTATTATTTTTTTTTATTATTTTATTTTACTCTTTTTCTGCTTAGGATTCGTCAATTCTTTAAAAGAAAAAAAAATGCGTCTTGTTTTTTCCCTCAATATATATAACAATTCAAACAGTGTATTATAGTATTCGGAGTGCAAAAGTTCAATGTCTCTAAGTCTATTAGAGTATTTTTTTTAAATTTCGACTATCTCGTTGAGAATTCTAAACTATTAATATAATCTAAACTACTCACGTCAAATCTAAAGATGAGAGATGCACAGCAGGTGATGGAAACATGCTTCGTTTCAAAGTTTTGAATTTGTTGCCAGTCAGCCACAAATTCCTCACATTGCGAAAGGACGCAAAAGCCTTGTCTCCAAGCTTTTCGATGAAATTCGTCATTATGAACAAGTTTCGAACGTTGGAGGGGCCATCTTTGAACCAATCGTTTCCCATCTCTGTTAATTCGTTACCTTCTATTTCTAAGTCGGTAATGGCTTTCAACTGCGACACATTGAGGTGTTTCAGCTCATTGTCTTCGTTAAAGCTAAAGTGTATTGCAAATTCCTGCAAACAGAAGCATATGAATCTATTACGATTGCTATACCTCCCCTATGCATTCTTCAAAAAAAAAAAAAGAATGAAAATGAGTTTTGATTTATGATTTTTCGAAGCTAATGCTAAATTTGTGTTAATATATGCTAAAGAAATACGTATTAATCACACAAAAGCTACTAGATACTTAATGTATCTACTTTTTTTTTCTTCAGTTTTGTTAGTAATCGGGACAGTTTCATTGCCCCATCAACCCCTTCAGTATAGGGACATATACAAGACTACGTGATTCTTCCTTAACTGTTCACGGTATTCTATGTGAAACGAGCCCTTCTGACTTTAATGGCCTAAGATTACACAGACGTAAGCTCAATGCATCTCATACTACATACTAGTACATATGAGTACTCTATAGTGCTTATAAACTCAAAGTATGGTTTTTTAGAACTAATGCTAAGTCTGTGTTATTAAGAAATATTCATTGAGCGGACATGATCTACTGGACACTTTATACATTATATGACCTAGAGCCGCGGTTGTTCAGGGGATAGAGGGTTCGCCGCCGACTGAGGTGCACCGCGTTCGGGTAGATACAATTTTTACTCCCTGCTCGCACCGACCACAGTACTGATGCGAAATATCCTCAGTGGTAGATGAATTATGGATTGAAATACCCTTTTCATATGACTAACCATAGGAGGTTTTTCATGATTTTCCTCTCTGTGTAACGCAAATGCAAGTTAGTTTCATAAAAAAAGGCCTCCATAAGTTTGCCATAATGCTTGATCCAGGAGTTCCCTTGTCTTTTAGATTGGGTTCCAAATTACAAGGCTGCAGAGTTGAACATTGAAAGTTGCAAACTCAGAATTGGGTTATCTGTTCAACGCCAGTTATAAAAAAATAAAATAAGTGACCTTTGCCAAAAGTAACAAACGAATCCTTAAGAAAAACGTTTTTGAAATTTCATGAGCAAGTGTAGTGGTCATAAGGAAGCTCTTAGATACTTTTTTTTTACTCCTTATAGGCATTCGGATGCAATATTTTAAAATACAAATAAAAAAGAAATATTTTTCAAGCGGAAAAAAACAAAGAAAGAAACGTTATTTCATCAGATTTTGCTAGCATTTTTTTTTTCCTTCTCGGCTAAACTACACTTAGCCATGCAGTTTTTAACGACTTCTGTTCTCAAGAAGATTCCGTAAAAAATATCAGCAAAAAAATATACATAAAGGGCGGTGATTACAAAAACAACACTGAAGAAGGTATTAAAAAAATGCATAGGAACGAAATTACCTCAATTATATGCTCTAATCCTTCTAAAGCTGATCTGCCTTCATCTCCGAACTTCTTCAGATCACAATTAGTGAAAGATATTTTCGTGACATGAAGTCCTTTGAACAAATCTGATGGTATGTAGTCGAGTCGCGCTCTCAAAAAGTCTATAAACACTCTACGAATACCTTTCACACTTTGCAATGCTCTTCTGAGTTCGTCGACGTCTGTAACCGCCATGCAGTCCACTCGGATAGATTTACCATCACTCACGCATCCACAAGGTTCTAAATCTTCAATAGGTGGACATAAGTTTTCAAGTGCACTCGCCAGGAAGATGCACTTTAGGAGCAGCAAGGATACGGCTAGAAGTACCATTTTGGACTTTTTCTGAATAAAAAGAAACGTACAATAATGAACTCGATACATCGCAGTATAGAACAATCATATAGAACAATAGTTTCGGTAATTACTGTAATCGAAAAAAATATATAAATGGAATGAATTTGGTTGGTTATTAACGCTGTTTTACGAAGCTGCGTTGCCAACGAAAATTAAAAAAAAGCCGTAGTTTAAGAGCCTTATATTTGAAGCAATGCAATGATTTTAAACCATAATCTTGATGTGAAAATTAACTGAGCTACTTAAATATTTTATAAGTTATTAAACTTTTTTAAAAATTGCCAATTTGGCAATATTTTATAACCTAAATGAAAATTATCAAAATCAATGCCTTATTCTCAGTTTTTGCAAATTTTTATTAGCCCAAGTCAAGCAGCGTTCAAGTAAGTTTTGAATTATTAAAAAATTAGACATCAAACGCTTTACATTTTCACAAAATTGTGACTTTTCTCCATATGGATGGTGTTTTCAATAAAAATGTAAACAATAACAATCTCCAGCTCGGGACCTACTCTAGTTCCGGTTTAAAAGTTTGCAGCTGCTTACTACATGTTATTCTAATAGGCGATGTTTTCAAACGGATAATTTTGTTTTCAATAAAAGAAATAAATTAGATAATTTCTGAGCTCAAATCTGTCGTATTTCATAAGATATTAATATTATTATGTAATTCTGGGGAGTTTGGAGTGAAAATTTGTTTTAGTTATTTTGTTATTTATTATTAAAAAAGGTGACATGGTTGCTAGATTTTGAATAACTCGCTTTTTTGGCAGTCTTGATTTGGCCTCTTTCCATTTGTTTATTACTG